CTTTTTTTCTGAAGAAGGGTCTCGACCCGAAACGTCAGCTTTCCTGCTCCTCTGATGCTGCTTGGCCTGCTGTGTTCATCCAGCTCTAAACCGTGTTATCTCAGATTCTCCAGCATCGGCAGTTCCTACTATCTCAGGTTATAGTCCAACAGGTTTATTTGAAAGCACAAGCTTTCTGAGCCTTGCTCTTTCTTCAGGTGTTCGTGAGTAATGTTGTATCAGGCACAAAATTCATAAGTAAAAAATCAAAGGGTCACACCACTGATAAGGATGTATTAAACGAACCTAAGATGCTGTTCGATATTTAATCAGTTTCTGCAGGCTTTAAAACACAATATTCTGATATCTTGGCACCAATAACACTCAACCAGCAAACAAACAGGTTTATTGTGCAGCACTCTGGGATTATCCCCATAGTCTGGATGACATCCTTTATAACTCCAAAAATGTCTTTCTTTTTGATTGTATGCAATGTTTTAATTGACCTAATATTATACCAGGCAGCGTGAAGCTACCTTGTAATATCAATTGTTGAATAGAACATCTGCTCAATAACACAAAGATTTGTGAGTGGTGATGTGAAGGATGAAATGACTCTTAAAACCTACAACTCATGGATCATTGTGATGTGATTTAGCATCTCGCACTCTTGTTTCTGGGTCAGTAGATTGTGGATTCAGGTTTCACCACTCATCCTTGATGTCATCAGCTAGGTTGGCACTCCAATGCAGGACTGAGAAAGTGCTGCAAGTGTGGAAGGAGATACCTCCTGATGAACTAATAAACAATGGCCCTCACGTTAATGTACATGGCTACATTGGAAGAGCTGGGTGGTTCTCTCCAGTGTCTCAGCCAGTCAACATTTATCTCTCAATCAACAGCAAAAAGCAGATGATCGGATCATTACCAAGTTTTTACTGTAGGAACTTACTATGTGCAATTTGAAATTTGGGCATCAAGAGAGACCAAAGCCGTGTACCCCATATGACACAATGATAATTAAAGTGTGGATTGATTGTAGCAATTGGTCACATCAATGAATCTACAATAAACCAAGGTCTATGGTGAGGAAATCACAACAGGGTCGGGGGGCTTTGGAAAGTAAAGATCCAAAATTCCTTTCCCTCAGAACATTCTGCATTCACCGCAGTTCATGTCCCAAGTCGTTCATTTATATTCTCCCTAACCACAAAAGTGATCACTCAAAACAAAACACAACACTGAAACTTTTCATGTCAGGTTTATTGAAATTTGATCAATACATTGACATACAATTAACATTCTGTGGGGTTTCACATGTTTCGCACATGATCAGGTACAGCACAAAAAAATGTTTCAAAATGACCTGAGGATCTCAGGCATCTGGAGAAAGCAGTGTTGTCTGATTTGGAGATTTTTTTTTCTCTCAAGTACTGAGCAATGTTGAATTTTGTTCATGTTAGAAGTGCATTGCTACCAGGAGAGAGGTTTCAAAGTGCTCACAACAGTTTTCTGGTTGTGTTAACCATCCATTTACAGGGATTATATAAATGGGTGATTGTTTGAATCAGCAGTTGTTATGAACAGGAGTTAAAGCTTTCAGTTAGAACAAGTGAGACATTAACCAGGTTGGGTTTGCTGTGAGATTTATTAATGCTTCTGAACACATTTGTTGTGACTGACTCATGTCCCACCACACAGGAATACGTGGTGCCGCTGTCCCACTCCTCTGCAGAGACCGTCAAGCGACTGCCTGAGTTCCAGCCTCCTCTGCCATCCTCAGTCACTGGCTGATGAATGAACCCTGTCTTCAAAAGGGTATCATTGGCCATCCAAGCCAGGTCAATATCTGCGGGAGAGAATCCAGTGACCAGGCAAACCAGGGTTGCAGTATGAGCGGTCTCCATCTCATCAGGTGAAGGGGGCAGGAGATAGACTTGAGGGTGAGTCTTAACCTCAACTGCAAACAGACAAAACAGAGGTTAGACTTCATCTTTCACTCGACCTGTATTTACCTGACACGTTTGTCTCTTGCACAAAACTAAGCAACTTCAGTATCCCCAGGATCTCTGAGTTCAGAAACTAAGAGCATTTCTATTCATGCTCAACTTTTTGGAAGGTTGTGCAAGGGTGGGGTCATCAGTGATTTGAACGGAATAAATGTGGAGAAACTTTTTTTCAGTGACAGGTGAGTCAGAACAGACATTTCACAGGAATGGGAAATGAACTCGTGAGTTGCCAATTGAATTTGATTTGCTCCCCTATTTATGACGACTTGGAATGCACAGCACGAAACAGGGTGGAAGCAGATTTAACAGTAACTTTTACCAGGGAATTGGACATAAAATTGAAAAATAGACAATTGTTTGGTTGCTGAGATGGAGCAGATCGCACGTGGGATAATTTGAATAGTTATTTCAAAGAGCTGGCAGTGACGTGATAGACCAAATGGCATCTTTTAAAATGGCACAGTTTTCTGAGAAACACCAGAGAACCACTTCCTGATGTCAGCAGGTAGGCTTCATGCATTATTCTGATCTGGTGCTCTCTGCTCTTTCTCCTTTTCCCCTCCATGTATTTGCTCATATTCAGCCTACACCTGAGACTGACACTCTCCGTTACAATCCAGTGCTAGATTGAAGGAATATTAAATGTTGAAAAACTGCTAATCCCTCTCTGACTATCCTATCACCTTGATCCCATTCCCTGGGAACCATGTATGATTCACACCAAGGTTGCTGAGGTCATTTGAGGCTTCATCTGGTCAGTTTCTTGACAGGGTTGACAACATCTCTGGGCTTGTCACATACTCTGACAGCCTGTGATAAGCTGCTTAGCACTCTGGCAATAAATCACTTCAGTTGCTAAGATCAGACACACATTTCCATCTACACGTACCTTGGGCTTTCCTGATGAACCTCTTCTCTGGTGTTGGCAAATTTTCATCCTCCACCAAACACATATACTCTACCCCACTCTCCCACTCTGCAGCAGGGACTGTCAGTCTACTGAAGATGATCTCTTTATGTCCACTCTTCTTGGGACCCTGGGTCTTCACTCCATCTTGTCTCATGATTCCATCCACTTTCCAGGTTACCCTGACTCCCTCTAAATCACGGTGAAGTACCTCACACAGAATTGTTGCTGTTCTGTTCCTCCAGATCTCTTCAAATGGAGGCTTGCTTAAGGTGACTGAGATTCCAGTGTCCAAACATTCATCTGGGAGGAGAATGACAATTATTAGTCCCTAACTCCCCAGTGGCATGTGGGTGTCACTTGCACGGCTGACAATTCATGCTCATCATTAAATTTAAAACTAATAGCCTGCTAGGCTCTATCAAAGGCAGTAATTAGTCTTCGACATTGTTGTGTGCCTGGAAGTGACAAAAATCCCCCTCGTGCTACAGTTTGGGGGTCATTTTTGCACAGCATGTACATCCTGATCTGTACTTGCATATCTGAGTCATGGCAGAAGAAATTGGATGGTTCACCAAATTCTTCATACATTTTCCCCATTGCTACTGATTTCCAAACCATCAGTCATTTCAGATATCCCACAGTTCAGCACATGTTCTGATCACTTTTCAGGCACATTGCACCCAAAACTCACAACTCATCTCCTGTATGTGTTACTAAGTAACTCTGGGATGCAATGTAAAACATAACGATTACAGCATCAGAATGACATCCTTAATGACATCCTCTGAACTTACTCCAAGAGAATGGAGGAGGCGACTGCCAGACTGGAGGAAGTCTGATGAATCCTGGAGGCATATCTGAGACCAGGCCAGCACAGGAGGAGAGTCCTGAAGGTGAGTCCTGGGGGAGCCTGGTCTGGAGGCCAGTGCGGGAGCTGCGTTCTGGGGGCAGTTCCGGACCGGAGGCCGTTACCGGGAGGCGAGTCCCAGGGGCAACACCCAGACTGAAGGCCACCACTGGGTAGGCAAGGCCTTTACAGGCTGGAAGCGAGGCTTGGAGTTTTCAAGCCTCATGTGGTCTGTCGACTTGCCCGGTGCAGTCTGGAGACTAGGTGCTGGTGAAAAGGACTGTAATTTGGGTACTTTTTAAAAAAAGTTTTATTCTTATGCTGGACTTTTGGAGTAATGCAAGTTCTTTTTAAATACTTTGTATTCCTTTCCTGGACTTGATTTTTTATTCTTTCAATTCTCCAACAAATACTTAAGTGTCTACCTAGGCATCCTGTACCTACGATGGCACCGTAAACAGCGACTTTGCAAATTTTTCACTTCTTTTCTTTATACTTGCCTGCCAAAGAATCATCATCACTTCAGATATCCTGCACCAAAATGTGTATTCTGTACATGGTCAATGTACAAACACATTCACTGTGCAAACCACAACTGTGGTGCCTGATTGTTCTCTCTCTATAACATATTGAGTTAATACTTGAAGAGAGAAATGATTACTCTGCATCCTGATAAAACCATTTATCAACACTCAGTACCAACTCCTGTCACTGCATTTGAGTTGATGCTCAGGACAGTGATAGGATCACATGTGTTATTAACTTCAAACGTTCTGTTTCTCTCATCTGTCTTTCAGACAAGATGTTGAGCAATTTCTTTCCAGATTAGCATTGATCA